TACCTTGATGGGATTTCAGTGCGGGGAGAGGTATAAATGGTCTGCCCCCTTAGTTCCAGACACCTGGGAGACCCCAAAGGAATGGAGCCTTGCGCAACGAGAGCTCACAACTCTGAGTGCATTTTAATAAGGATAACTCTTTTTTTAAAAAAAAATATTTTATTAAGGATTTTCTTGTTTTACAGAAGTGTAGTGCCTCGTATTTTTTTTTTCATGTAACATTTTTACAAATCCGTTTCATTTGTTGAGGCATTAGGGGGAGAAGGAAAAAGAAAAAAAGAAAGGGGGTGGAGGGGGGAAGATGGGTGGGGGTGGGGTCGGGTGGCGGTGTTTCTATTATGTTTAATGTATGTAGAGTTTGGTGTCAGCGTTGCTTGTGTTGTTCACTTGTGTTCCTTTGGTGGTGAGAGAGGTTGGGGTTGGCCTAGGGTGTGATTGTTTGCTTGTGATTGGCTGTGGTGATCTTTGTTTTCGTGTGTGAGTGAGGTGGGTGGGTGTTTTGGATCAGGTTAGCCATATTGATTTGTATGCTGTTGGTGGATTATTGTCATTGTCCTGTTGGGCTGTGTATGTGATAAAGGGGAGCCATACCGGGGTGAAGGCGTCTTCTTCTGTTTGTCCCCGTGTCAGTTTCAGTTTATTAGTTAATTTTTCTAGTAGGGCTGTTTCCCATACTATTTGGTACCATTGGTCCATGCTTACTCCTGACAGGTCTCTCCAGTGTCTGGTTATGGTGTTTCTGGCTGCTGAGAGCAGGTGGGTTATGAGTTCTTTGTGGTGTAAATGGGCATTGTTGTCTTGGAAGATGTTTAGTAGGGCCAATTCTGGGGTGATGTCTATTACTTGCTTAGTTATTTTACATATTTCTTGTATGGCTGTTGTCCAGAATAGTTGGATTTTGGGACACTCCCACCACATGTGGAGGTATGTGCCTGTGGAGGTGCACCCTCTCCAGCATTTTGGTGAGGTTCCTGGGTGTATTAGCGCTAGTTTCCTTGGTGTTAGGTACCACCTGTAGGTGAGTTTCAGTGTGAGTTCTTTTCTTTTCGTTGATATGGATTTAAAGGGGGTTTAGACCACATTCTGGTCCATTGAGTGGGGTTAATCTCATAGCCTATGTCATTCTCCCATTGTTTTGATTGCGTCTAGGGGATTTGCGGGATTTTGGAGTAGTATTTTGTATATTGCGGATACCGTCCCTTTACCGTTTCCCTTTGTTGTTAGGAGGAGGTTTTCGAAGGTTGTCAGGGGCCTAGTTGCTGCTGATTTTACTGTTGGGTTGTTTAAGAGGGCATGTAGTTGGTGTTGTGTTAACCAGGGCATTTGGGTGTCTTCTAGTTTGTCTTGTATTTCTTGTGTTGACAAGGGTTTGTTATTTTTATAAAAGTCTATTAGGCGATATAAGCCTTTGGTTCGCCAGGTTTTTATCTTGAGGTTTTGTGCTGCATGGTGGAATAATGGGTGGTACGCCAGGGGGATTAGTGGGGATGGGGTTGGGGATAGTTTGCCTATTTGTGTTTTCCATGCTTTGAGCATGGTCTGTGTGTACCTGTTAAGTGTTGTGGGAATTTTCTTTAGTTTGTTTGGGAGGAGTGGGTATGTTGTGGTGCAGGTGTTTTCAATTGTGTCCCTCTCTAGGTGTACCCATTGTTTTGTCTCATCTTCTAGTATATATGGGATTATGTGGCGTATTTGGTTGGCATTGTAATATGCTTCTATGTTGGGGATTCCCCATCCTCCTTCTGAGGTGGGGAGGTGCAGGTATTTGGGGCTTATTCTTGGTTTTTATGTGAGAAGATGAAAGAGTGTAGTTTTCTCTGCCAACTGCGAAGTTGGGTTGAGGGATCCAGATTGGGAGGGTTTGGAATAGGTAGGTTAGTTTTGGGAGTGTGATCATTTTGATCATGGCTATTTTGTCTGAGAGAGTGAAGTTCATGTTATTCCATCTCTTTAGGTCTTTGTTAATTTGTCGCCACAGGGGCTTGTAGTTGTGGAGGTACAATTTATTGAGGTTTCTGGTTATTTGTACCCCTAGGTATCTGAACTTGGTGTGGCAAAGTTTTATTTTGGTGACCTTCGTGAGTTCTTTTTGGGTGTGAGGAGGGGTGTTGAAGCACATAGCTTCTGACTTTGTAAAATTTACCTGTAGGCCCGACACCATTGCAAATGTGTTGAGTTCTCTGATTAGGGAGGTTGCTGTGCTTATGGGGTCTGGTGTTGTGACCATTAGGTCATCTGCAAAGAGCCCTAATTTATAGGTTCTGCCTTTTATTTCCACTCCCTTGATGTCTGTGGCTGCTCGGATGCGGATTGCTAGGGGTTCCAGAGCCAGGATAAATAAGAAGGGAGACAGTGGGCATCCTTGTTTCGTGCCTCTTTGGATAGCTATAGTGTTAGAATCCATATTGTTAGTTCTGCATTTTGCTGAGGCTTGGGAGTATATTTGTTTGAGGATTTGTAGGAAGTTGGGGCCAAATTTCATGTTAGTTAGTACTGCTAGTATGTATTTCCACTCCAAGCAATCAAAGGCTTTGAGGATGTCTAGGGACATAATTGTCAATGGGAGTTTGGTTGCCTTGCTGTGTTCGATCAGGTTCAGTAGTTTCCTGATGGGGTCTGTTATATTGCGGCCAGGGACAAAGCCAGTCTGGTCTGGGGCTATTAACTTGTGTAGGAAGATTTTTAGGCGGTTGGCCAAGATTGATGTGAATATCTTGTAGTCTTGGTTTATTAATGAGATTGGGCGGTATGATTCTACTTTGAGGCTGTCTTTTAGTGGTTTTGGGATGGAGACTATTTTGGAGTGGGTCCAGGTTTTGGGGATGGGGCCCCCTTTTATGATGTCGTTGAATAGGCGGGTCATGTAGGGCATCAAGGGTTCTTTGAATTTCTTATAGAATTCTGCTGTGAAGCCGTCTGGGCCTGGGGCTTTGTGTGGTTTCAGGTTTTTGAGGACCGCATCTATTTCCTCTGGGGTGATAGGGCTGTCCATGAATTCCTGTTCCTCATCAGTTAGGGTAGGCATGGTCAGTCCTGCTAGAAATGTTCTGATTTCCTTCTCTGGTGGGTTATGGGAGGTGTATAGGTTGGAGTAGAATTCTGCAAATTCTGAGGTTATTTCTTCGGGGGAGAATGTTATGTTGCCGTCTTTTTTGGTGATGCAGTGTATTCTTGTTTTGAGTGCTTTTTTCCTACATCTATTTGCTAGTAATCTGGAGTTTTTCCCTCCATATTCATAGAAACGTTGTTTAGAGTATAGAATGTTGATCATTGTTTTGTTAATTTCTAGGGAGTCTAGTTCTCTCCTTTTTTGTTCTATAAGTTTGAGGAGTTTTTTTAGATCCTGTTTGTTTGTAGCGTGATGAGAGGGCTGTGATGTCTTGTTCTATTTTGCTAATTTTTGAGGAGGTTTGTTTTTTAAGGAATGTTTTCTCTTTTATGCAAGCTCCTCTGGTGACCGCTTTCATTGCGTCCCATAGGAGGGGGGTTGTTATATTGTTTACATCGTTTTCTTTGAAGTAGTTTTGGAGGGTTTTTGTGAGACTCTCTCTAATTTGTTTGTTTGTAGTTATAAGGATAACTCTAAACAATTATACAGCAGCCACGAAATTAAAAGATACCTGCTTCTTGGGAGAAAAGCAATGACAAACATAGACAGCATCTTAAAAAGAGACATCACCTTGCCAACAAAGGTCCGTATACTTAAAGCTATGGTTTTCCCAGTGGTGATGTATGGAAGTGAGAGCTGGACCATAAAGACGGCTGATCGCCAAAGAATTGATGCTTTTGAATTATGGTGCTGGAGGAGACTCTTGAGAGTCCCATGGACTGCAAGAAGATCAAACCTCTCCATTCTTATGGAAATCAGCCCTGAGTGCTCACTGGAAGGACAGATCCTGAAGCTGAGACTCCAGTACTTTGGCCACCTCATGAGAAGACTCCCTGGAAACGACCCTGATGTTGGGAAAGATGGAGGACACAAGGAAAAGGGGACGACAGAGGACGAGATGGTTGGACAGTGTTGTCGAAGCGACCAGCATGAGCTTGACCAAACTGCGGGAGGCAGTGGAAGACAGGAGTGCCTGGTGTGCTCTGGTCCATGGGGTCACGAAGAGTCGGACACGAATAAATGACTAAACAACAACAAACAGATTGCTGAAAACACACCGATACGTTCTCTTAGCAATTCTTACGACACTGCGAGGTAGGTTGGAATATTAGGGTCCCCACATTAATTTTTATGGGTGATGGGGAGGGTGCTAAGGAAGGAGAAAATGAGTCAATTGAACTTCATTTTGACTTTAAATGTAATTTATAATGGTGAGGTAATACATCCTGGGTATATGTGAAGTTAATCTCATCCAACCCCTAATTAAACAGATTTGTTCCTGCCACATGGGCCTCTGTGATTGGTGGCACAGTGTCTACCTGTGGAAAAAAGTTTGACAGTTGCAGGGGAAGTTAGGAGCGAAGCTTTGAGAGACTCTACTTTGGGAATATCGAGGGGGGACATTGATTGCCACAGATTGGTTGCCCTCCCCTCTCCCTCCCTTCCCCCAATTTGCTTCTTCTTGTCAGCTTTATATAATTATAGGAATATTCAGGCTGTACAGTGGTACCTTGGTTCTCAAACACCTTGGTTCCCAAAGGCCGAAAACCCAGAAGTGTTCCGGTTTTCGAATGTTTTTCGGAAGCCGAACGTCTGATGTGGCTGTTGGCTATTATTTTGGGGCATTTGCACCAATCAGAAACTGCAGTGTGGTTTTCAAACATTTCAGAAGTCAAACGGAATTGCGGAACAGATTAAGTTTGGGGCTTTTGTTTTGCTATTTATTTTGCATTTTTGTTTTTGAGGCATTTTCAGTTAATTTGTTTTTGTGACTGTGTGGAACCCGGTTCAGCTATTGATTGATTGATTGATTGTGTGATTGCGGAAATGGATAAAAAAAACCCATCCAAACAATGACTATCATCAGTGCAGGTAATAATTTTTTATTTTTAAATTTATATCATCTACAATACTGTTTTTTTTATTTTATAGTACACTGCATTGGTTATTGCTTTCATTTCTGGATCAATGGTCTCGTTAGATAGTAAAATTCATGTTAAATTGCTGTTTTAGGGGTTGTTTTTAAAAGTCTGGAAGGGGTTAATCTGTTCTGCATTACTTTCTAGGGGAAAGCATGCCTTGGTTTTGGGACGCTTTGGTTTTGGAACGGACTTCTGGAACATATTAAGTTTGAGAACCAAAGTACCACTGTCCTCGTATTCAAACCTTTCACATACATTCTTTTGCAATTCTTACAACAAGCCTGCAAGGCAGGTCAGTGTTATTATCTGCAGGCTGCAAATGGCGGAGGTGAGAGAGAGAGGGAGAGAGAGAGAGAGGGAGAGAGAGAGAGAGAGAGAGAGGGAGAGAGAGAGAGAGAGAGGGAGGGAGAGAGAGAGAGAGGGAGAGAGAGAGAGAAGCTTGTCTAGGATACCTGAGTGGACTCATTACAAGAGAGGAGAGGGCAACTCTCAAATTCGTAGCACAAGTGTTCAGCCATTATGCCACGATATCCCTTCCCTCTACATGAGAGCCAGCCAGGACCCATGTTTTTCATAGCTGCCGTCAAAATAGGTAATTTATTTTTATTTCATATGGGGACAGAAGAGATGGTCTCTTCTTATTTATTTATTTATTGAATTTATATACCATCCTACACCCGGAGGTCTCACAGCAAAGATCACAATACATAAAATCAAAATAAAAACAATGACCCAATAACACTTGCCCAAAAAAAGAGCCGCATTTTAAAAGGGTATAGGATGTTGATCAGTTCAACAAAAGGAACAATTTTGGCTGGCGCCTAAAAGTGTATAATGAAGGCGCCAGGCGAACTTCCCTGGGGAGAGCATTCCACAGGCGAGGAGTCACTGCAGAGAAGGCCCCGTTCTTTCCAAGACCAGCCATGAGGGTTCCTTTAGGGGAAAGCAACAGATTCAGTCTGACTTCCTCCACTCTCTCCTTTCCATGTACATGCTCAAAAGATCCCTGATCTCCCGCGCTCGGGGGTTGGCCGCGTTCACCGGCTGCCTCTCCGGCTGCTGGTAAGACCGCGAGACGGACCTCACCACTTCCTGCCAGCCTTCCTGGAGAGGCTCGCCTCTGGTCTCGCAAATGTTGTGCAGGATGCAGCAGGCCACGATGACCCGGGGGGCGTAGCGCTCCCTCACGTCCAGGCGGGAGAGCAGGCACCGCCAACGGCCCCGGAGGCGCTCGAAGGCGGACTCTGCCACCGTGTGGCAGCGGCCGAGGGCGTTGTTGAACCGCTGCTGGCGGGCGTCCAAGTGCCCGCCGTACGGAGTCATCAGCCAGGCCAGCAGCGGGTAAGCGGGGTCTCCGAGGATCACCGGCTTCAACTGCTCGCCTCCCACGTCCACGGTCACGCCGGGACCAAAGGTGCCTTGGTTCATGGCGCGGAAGATGGGCGAGCCGCGGAAAATCCGGGCTCCGGGAAGCTTCCCGGAGCGCCCCGCGTAGACGTCCGTGAACCTGCCTTTGTGGTCCACCAGTACTTGCAGGACCATGGAGTAGTAGCCTTTGCTGTTGATGTACTCGGTGGCTCTGTGTGCTGGAGCGATGATGGGGATGTGGGTGGCGTCGAGGACCCCGATGCAGTGTGGGAAGCCCTTGGCAGCGAAGCCTTCCATCACCTCCTGGGCACCGGCCAGGTGGACCACGTGGTGGTAGACGTCGTAGAGCGCTTGGCAGACTTCCATGACGATCCTGGAGACCGTGGAGCGGCCGACCCCAAAGCACTCAGCCACCGAGCGATAGCTATCCGGGGTGGCCAGCTTCCAGACGGCGATGGCCAGCTGTTTCTCGACGGTGATCGGAGCACGCATGTTGGTGGTCTGCCGCTCGAGGACGGGCCTGAGCCGGTCGCACAGCTCCGTGAAGGTCCTCCGGCTCATGCGGAAGTTCTCCTGCCAGAGATGGTCGTCCCAGTGGGGCAGAACCACCTTCTCCCACCATTCAGAGCGGCCCGGCTGCACCCAGAAGGCCCTCTCCATGATGTAGAGCTCGTCGATCAGGCCGGCCAAGACGGCCGGCGACTGGAAGAGGCACGAGCACATCATGGCCTTCAGAGAGTCGATGCTCGATTCCACCACCGCCCGGAGGCGCACCGACGCGGCCGTCTCCACCATCTCCTCCAGCTCGGCCAGGTCGTCGCGCCCTCGTGGCAGAAGCTTCCGGCGTGTCGCCAGCCGCGCAAAGATGCGCGACTGGATCCCCGCGACGGTTGTGATGGCGGCCACGGCAGCTGTGGCGGCGGCGAGAGCAGCTGACGCCGTCTGATCGCCTTCTGGAGAAAATGAAAGACAAGAGAGGTCGTTTCAGGAACACCAGGAAGGAGCTGCTTTGTACCAGGGCAGATTCCGGTGATGGAGCCCCATATCTGATAGGCAATGGGTCTCAGGAGCCTCAGCAGGGAAAAGCCTTTTGAACAGCCTTTTGAATGTGTTTGTGGGAGGCAGGGGGCCCGCTATTGTTTCCTTCTTTTTAATTTCACTATTTATTTGTGCTTTTACTTTGTATTTCATCTATGAACCACCCAGAGATCTTGTGACGACGGGCGGTATATAAATCTAACAAATAAAATATGAAGAAATAAATGTGGGTGACTCTAAACGAGGATCGGACAAATTCATGGAGGACAAAGGCTATCCAATGGCTATTAGCCACGATGCCTGTGCTCTATCTCCACGATTGGAGGCAACAAGGCTTCTTAAGAATAAGAATTTTATTAATTATACCCCACCCATCTGGCTGGATTTCTGGGCAGCTCTCAACAGAATATTAAAAACATGATCAAAAATTAAAAACTTCCCTAAACAGGGTTACCTTCAGATGTCTTCTAAAAGTCAGGCAGTTGTTTATTTCCTTGACATCTGATGGGAGGGCATTTCACAAGGCGGGTGCCACCACCGAGAAGGCCCTCTGCCTGGTTCCCTGTAACCACACTTCTCGCAGTGAGGGAACTGCCAGAAGGCCCTTGGAGCTGGACCTCAGTGTCCGGGCTGAGCGACGGGAGCAAGGCCAATTGCTAGGAACCACAGGAGGGAAAAGGGCTCTTGTGCTTGGATCCTGCTTGCGGGTTTGCCACAGGCATCTGGCTGGCCACTGTGAGAACAGGATGATGGACTACATGGGCCACTGGCCTGATCCAGCAGGCTATTCTTAAGTTCTTACTTTGGGGTGCTTTCACCAACAGTTAAAGTCCCATCTATCTACCCTGAGTTTCCCCGGACAACTAGTGTTGGGTCTGAATGTTTGCCGATTAGGATTTGGCCTTTTTTTGGATTCCGCAAGGCTTCTTTTAAAAAAAATAAAATAAAAATAAAACAATGCAAAACAATTTTGTTATTGCTGCAAAGGAAAGGGCACATAGAATTTGCCAAAAATTATAATTTGTTCAGGTTCCTATTATTCATTAGGCAAATACCTGTTTGTTTCGGTTCAGCTTATTCTGTTGCTGCGAGTCCTGGGGGGGAAAGCATGTGGGCACAAGGGGCATTGAGGTGACCAACACCTGCTGCATATATTTAAAGGAAGAAGTGGGGCTGGCCTGTGGAGGCCGTGAGACCAAATATTCGAATGCTTCCTCCTGTACAAGGAGAATTTCCACGTTTGAAACTTGCAGTCATGGAAAAGGCCAGGCTACTTCTGTAGGTCCAGGATTTTGTTGTTGTTGTTTTTTTTACATTGAATAGGATAGAAGTTTTTAAAAAGAGAGATTTCCTGCTTGTAGCTGGAATTCTTTTGTGTTTTGCCAGCCGTTGAGAGTAAAAGCTGACTGTGACATGTTGGTTTAATGTCTCAAAAGCTGAAAACATCCCAGAGTTTGCACTGCAGGAGCTTGCACAAGCTAGGGCCCGACTGGAATGTCCTTGGAAGCCTGAGAAAGAAGTGGAAGCTGCCTTGTTTATCAGTTTCGCATCCACACCCTTCTCAGCAGCCCCTGAAGGCTCTTCCTGGTCACAAACCCGCATTCGCAAATCTAATGAACTAAAAAACCAAAAAACTCTACCGTCTTTTAATTCTATGAACATGTACCTAAGCATGCATCTGTTAAGTCTCTCAATAGCTTTGCAAGAGTTACAAATATAGACAAAAATGCTAGCTTATTCTCCTACTTTGTGAAATGAGCAACTTACTGTGGGCCAGAGGATACCCAGTTTAGATATACAGTCGTACCTTGGTTGACGAACGCCTTGTGAGTCAAACGTTTTGGCTCCCAAATGCCGCAAACCCGGACGAGATTGCTCCAGTTTGTGAATGTTCTTTGGAACCCAAACGTCCGATGGGGCTTCTGACTGGCTGCAGGAGCTTCCTGCAGCCAATCAGAAGCCGCACCTTGGTTTTCGAACGTTTTGGAAGTCAAATGGACTTCGGAAGGGATTCTGTTCGACTTGAGAAGGCAGCCTCTTAGGCGCACCAGACAAAAGGGACCCTAAGGCCAGCAACACATCCACCTTTTACATGATGAAATCAAACTTTTGACTCACACGGTTTCCACTGAAATACTCTTCTGTTTTGTTTTTCTGTCTGAGTCCTTACCTGAGCTGCTATTCCTTGGCATCTCCTCTGTCTTAGGGTCCTGGGGGTCTAAGTTCGATGTTTCTTCTTCTCTCTCCATCCTCAACCTCACCTTAGGCTTTAAGAAAGGAAAACCTAATCAGGAAAGAGAAGCCAGAACAAAGGCAACCACCAGGGGCTGGCAGATTCCAACAAGGCCTGCCGCTCCTACTGTGGCAAGATGAGAAGCTCCAAAGATTATAATCATCCAAGCATGTGCAGAGCAGAGTAGATTCTGAAGGAGATTTTTGTACGATCAGAGTTGGAAGGGACCTCAAACATCATCCAGTTGGTGGAGCATCAGACTCTTAATCTCAGGGTCATGGGTTCGAGCAAAAGAATCCTGCATTGCAGGGGGCTGGACTAGATAACCCGTGTGGTCTCTTTCCAACTCTACCATTCTAATGCAGGAATTACAGCTTGGTTTCCTGGCAGAGCTGGAAAAGCTCCAGAAAAACGCAGCCAAAATCGTCAAGAGGCTGGAGACACTCATATACTTGTATGACAATACTGAGCAGGGGCAATGCCTGACAAACCTGGGCATGAGAGCTGATCTACCCAGCACTCTGAACAGTGCCAGGCATTGTGGCTTATCCGCCATTTTAATGCCCACCAGACCCCCACAGCAACACCACATCCCCATCCGTACTGTACATTGGAAGCAGTATCATTCTGCTCAAAAAAATGTCATGGCTTCCCCCAAATAATTCTGGGAAATGTAGTTCGTTAAAGGTGCTGAGGGTCGTTATATGTCTCTGACTACCACTCGCTGGGAACTGCAGCGGGGCAGAGTACCGTTGTGCTCATGTCCTGCTGGCAAACCTCCCCACAGGCCACAGGGCGAACAGGATACAGTGGTACCTCAGGTTAAGAACTTAATTCGTTCCAGAGGTCCGTTCTTAACCTGAAGCACCACTTTAGCTAATGGGGCCTCCCGCTGCCACCGTGCTGCCGCCGCCGCGCGATTTCTGTTCTCATCCTGAAGCAAAGTTCTTAACCCAAGGTAATATTTCTGGGTTAGCGGAGTCGGTAACCTGAAGCGTATGTAACCTGCAGCGTATGTAACCTGAGGTACCACTGTACTGGTCTGGATGGGCCATTGGCCTAGTGAGGCAAGTAGGAGCTCCCTATTCCACTCGCAGAGCTACCAGAGTTCCCTGGGGTTAAATAACACTGTTCCCAGTTCCCAGCATTCTTTGGTGGGAAGCAATGGCCTTTAAATTGGCATGACGCTGGTTTAATGGTATAGTGCAGAAGATGTCTGTGTTGGACCCACTTCCAGGAAATTGTGCAGGCCGCTGCCGACTTAAAATAGTGACCCTTAAACAAGCTTCCTAGGAAGTGAGTCTTGCTGAACTCACTGGCACTTGCTCCAAAGGAAACATGCGCAGGGTTGGGTTGGGATTGGGGAAGGTGGCCATTGCTCTGTGGTGGAGGTAGTCTTAGGTTTAATCCCAGGAACCTCAGGATTTCAGATAGCTAGCCTGAGAAGGCTTAGGACAGGCATACCCGAACTCGGCCCTCCAGATGTTTTGGGACTACAACTCCCATCATCCCTAGCTAACGGGACCAGTGGTCAGGGATGATGGGAATTGTAGTCCCAAAACTTTTGGAGGGCCGAATTTTGGGGTGCCTGGCTTAGGACCTGCCTATGGCAGGGATGGGGCGGGTGGATAGCTGGGGGCAACATCGCCCACCATCCCTGGTCACTAGCTACATTGCCTGTGGCTGATGGGACCTGGAGTCCCACAGTGCCAGGAGAGCCACAGGTTTTCCTTTCCTGACTTGGGAGACTCGCCATTGGGTGGAGCTGCACACAGTGCATGGCTAAATCAGAGGCAGGCAGTCTTCAGGTTTGTCTGATATCCTATTTATTTTTACCTAGAAGACCAAGATTTTCCAACCAGGGCCAGATGCAAAAGGCATACCTCCAGGGTGCGGTTTTCCCAAATGCGGGTTTCTATTTTTTTGGACTACAACCCCCATCATCCTTAGCTGGCAGGACCCAGGGGTCAGGGATGATGGGAACTGTAGTCCAGAAACAGCAGCAGACCCAAGTTTGGGAAACCTTGCTCTAGGGCAGGGACATCCTGTGTGGTGATTTCTTAATACTTCAAACTACGACTCCCAGAAGCCCCAGTCTGCACTGCCAAAGGTCAGGGAGGATGTGAGCTATAATCCAAAACCACTTAAGGGCGCCGGTGCAGTTACCTTGTGTTTCTGAGCAGCAATAATTTATTTCCAGGGCCAGAAATGAATTGAGCCGGAGCTGAATTTCACGCGGAAGTCTATTCCTGATTAGGGATATTTTCCCCCTCCATTTCAGGAATTTATGTTTAGGTGGAGAACATCATTTCTTCACTGCTGATGGGACGACCGAGCGCAGGAAGCCCTTGCCGATCTACTGCAAACCATCCAGATCTCAGCAGATCTCGAGCCACCTTCCGCCTACCGGATTCCCACTTGATCCAGCCTGGTCGGCGTCTTCCTTACACCATCCCCCCGTTTACATTCAGGGAGGCGCCAGACTCCTTTATCGCAAGCTGCGGACCACAGGAATCATCTTGCTTGTTCGCTCCATCTGGGAGATGAAAAGATCTCATATTCCCCCCCAGGATCGGATCGGCTCTCCGAGCAAAGTTGGGTTTCTAAAATCCGCCCCGCACGATTCCTCCGCCTTGTAAGCAGCAGAGGAGACTGGGATCTACTGGGGTCCCCCACTTCCTGGAGGTCTCGCGGATTCTGCAAATGCACGCAGGAAACGCGCGTGCAGCGTGCAAGAAGAGACACGAATCGGCAGCAAACCCTCCTCCGACAGCCGCGGGACCGAGGAGATCCTCTTCCTGTGGCGACTGCGCCCGAAGATCTCTTACGTGTCAGCTCCCCTCAGGGTCCTAAAGCCTGCCTCCTCCCGGGAGTTGTGATTCTGGGTCGTCTTCCTCACCAAGACTGTGCCTGCGATGCAGTTCTTGCTTCACTTAGACATCATGACTGTGCCCGGGCACCAGGGGTGGCCCCGCCATCGTGGGTGCCCGAGGCCGTGAGTGTCATGCAGCATGGCACTGAAATTTGTGGGTGCCTGGGCACCCAGTTAGCCGGCACCTATGACCAGGAGATGGTGGCGCTGTGGGTTAAACCACAGAGCCTAAGACTTGCCGATCAGAAGGTCAGCGGTTCAAATCCCCGTGACGGGGTGAGCTCCCGTTGCTCAGTCCCAGCTCCTCCCAACCTAGCAGTTTGAAAGCACACCAGTGCAAGTAGATAAATAGGTACCGCTCTGGCGGGAAGGTAAACGGCGTTTCTGTGCACTGCTCTGGTTCGCCAGAAGCGGCTTAGTCATGCTGGCCACATGACCCGGAACCTGTACACCAGCTCCCTCGGCCAATAAAGCGAGATGAGCGCCGCAACCCCAGAGTCGGCCACGACTGGACCTAATGGTCAGGGGTCCCTTCATGCAGTTCCTTCAGACCCCGGGATTGCCATGGGTGCAGGGCACACAGGGTGATCAACTTGGTCAAGAATCAGCCTGCTCTGCTCAGACAGGTCAGGCATCAACAGAGGGGGGATGACCGCTGGGAGGAGCCCAGAGAGAAGAAACGCCATGGGGCATCTCCAGCGGCACAACTGGATACCTTCATCTGCCCCACCTGCAACAAAACAGGTCTCTCCTACATCAGTCTCTACAGCCACAGCAGGCGCTGTGACTCTCCAGCGGTTTGACTTTTACCCCCCCCCCCAGGTACACTCTTCCATAGAATCATAAAATTGTAGGGATGGAAGACAACGAGAGGGTAATCTAACCCAACCCCCTGCGATGCTGGATCAGTGCTGGTACAGTGGTACCTTGGAAGTCGGAGTCTCGATTTCCAAAACGTTCAAAAACCAAGGCGCTGCTTCCGATTGGCTGCAGGAAGTTGCAGAAGTCGCATCGGATGTTCGGGTTCCGAAGAACCTTTGCAAACCCGAAGACTCACTTCCGGGTTTGCAGCATTTGGGAGCCACAACGTTTGACTTGCCAAGCAACACATGATACTCATGAGTGGCTTTCAACTGGCTGCGGCAGTCAGATCGTAACAGACGATAAATGTTTAGCTCCGAGACGAATTCTCCCACCAATCATCCCATCACCGTCTCATGGGAGACGAATTCTCCCCTACCTGTAGCCTTTGGGATGTTACTGGACTTCAACCCCACGCACCTTAGGGACGATGGGCCTTGCAGTGCCCTGTTCACCTGGCAGTCGTGGGGGATGTGAAGCTTTGTGTCTGAATTTCCAGTACAGAAATACTTCTGCAGAAATACCGTATTTTTCGCCCCATAGGGTGCACCGGCCCATAGGGCGCACTTATTTTTTTATGGGGGAAATAAAGGGGGGGAAATTATTTTCCCCCCCTCCCGAGCCCCAAAAAGCAAAGAAGCCATGACAGCGAGCAGGACGGATCCTGCTAGCTGTCCTGGCTTCGTTTTTAGCCTCGGGGCTGGGAGTCCGGAAGCGAGGGCGAGGTTGCGCAACCCGGAGCTTGCCGGCCTGGGGTGGGGGAAGCCCGAGCTTCCCCAGCCCCCAGAACAGGCTGCTATCCGCAAGCCTAGGGAGCCTGGTGGGAACTCCCGCCGGGCTCTCCAGGCTTGCGCATATCTGCCCGAAGCCTGGGGCGCGCCCCGCTGCGCCCCCCGGGTTTCGGGCTGCAGGCTGCTTCCTGAAAGCCTGCATTTGCCCCATAGGATGCACACACATTTCCCCTTCATTTTTGGAGGGGAAAAAGTGCGTCCTATAGGGCGAAAAATACGGTACTTAGAAATGATACCAAGGAAGGAGGGCAGGGATGTTAGGGTCTGCATGGTTCATAGGAGCCCCCCCCCCCAGTGTGGAGGCCGTTTGTTATAATGTGTCTAGGTAGGAACAGCTGGTTCTTGCATCCCAGAAAACAAAAGATGCTCCAGGCCATTCTCAAAGAAGAGGTGGGTGTGTCAACAAGAGCCCTCTTCACGCAAACAGACCCAGCCAGGCAGACCCGTCTGACAAGGTCTCTTCACCTCCGCCACCTCCAAACCCTTTTGCAAAGGACAAATCTACCACTTCTCTGACATAGCACCACCCATAACCAGAAGCTTGCAGAAAGGCCATGGGTAGGCAAGCTAAGGCCCGGGGGCAGGATCCGGCCCAATCGCCTTCTAAATCCAGCCCGCGGACGGTCCAGGAATCAGCGTGTTTTTACATGAGTAGAATGTGTCCTTTTATTTAAAATGCATCTCTGGATTATTTGTGGGGCATAGGAATTCATTCTCCCCCCCCCCTCAAAATATAGTCCGGCCCCCCACAAGATCTGAGGGACAGTGGACCGGCCCCTTGCTGAAAAAGTTTGCTGACCCCTGAGAAAGGCCATCCCAGAACCCGTTTTCTTGCCTTGTCCATCCTCCTCGTCCACAGCAACCTTGCTCAACCCTGCCTCCCAGTGTCTTCTCCCCCCCCCCATACACTCATAAGAGTTGGAAGGTACCCCTTGGGTCATCTACCCCATCCCCCTGCAATGCAGGAATCTTGCCCACAGCCATCTCTGGGTGGGCTCGAAACACCAACCTTCTGGTTAACATCCATTTGCACTGACCCATTGCGCTCTTATCCATTATTGCTTGCTTTTGTCTCCATCTTTCAGCCACCCTGCCCTTTATCCTTCCGTCCTCTGGGCTCCCTTCCACACCCCAGTTCTAACACTGCCACCCCTCTTTTCAACACACATATATGGAGAGTTTTCTTCCAGCCCAATCCTTTCCAAGCGATTTGTCAACAGTATGTAACTATCACTTCCCCTTCTGCACTTAGAATACTCGGCAACATTCCATGATGTTGCAGCTGCTTAGCCAATGGCTGGGGGTTATTTCAAACGCCAGCCTATTCTTTTAACCTATCCTACTAAGTCATTCTCCAGCATGGGGCTTACAACTTCCTGCGTATGGATCCCACAGTAGAAGCGGCATAGAGGAACCATACATTGAAGATATTGCCTGTAGGTTTATATATGTTGGCTCCCACCCACTCAGACAGATTGTGGGAGGGGGCTGTTCCTGCTTTATTCCATATTTTGTGTTCACTAAGAGGTGCATCTGAGATCCTTTGTGATGTCACAGAAGACGCTGCCACCAACTTTTCCCTATCCATGGACTCCAGGCCATCCGTCATTGTAAAAATGTGCCTGGAGACAGACATGTCGTGTAGAGAGAAGATGCGCCATGGTGCATCGGCAACAGCACAACCAGACGCCTTCATATGCCCCAGCTGCAACAAAACATGTCTCTCCTGTATCGGCCTCTACAGCCACAGCAGGCGCTGTGACTCTCCAACAGTTCACCCCAAAAGGCACACTTCTCCATTGTCTTCCGAGACAGACAGATGCCAACAAAAACCTTCACCCTAAGGTCCCAGATATGTGACATATATATATCTCTCTCTCTGTGTGTGTTTGTGTGTATACATATAGAGAGAAATAAGATGGCACAAAATGGTTTTGTGCTGAGTGGCACGTGAGTTTCTGTGCTACAACATTTTTCTCACACCCCTTATTTACCAGAACTAGTAATGTAGGGAAAGAAAGGGGAGGGGGGGAAGAACGCCACCCTCCAACTTTTTTCCCACCCACCCCCGCCTTCCTAATTACACAACTAGCCAGCCAAAATCATTAACTGCAAAAAGGTTTTTTAAATTCCTGAAAAAGAAAACTACAACCCGTTACAAACGCAGCCCGGATGTCCCGCACACTAACGGAACTACAGCCAAAGATCGTCGCCACAGCCACACCGCCGCCACAGCTGTCTCGGGAGTCACCTCCGGTACCTTGCCCTCGCCATGGACCGCCTGGTGGACCCCAAGCGCAAGGGAGAAGCGTCTGCCGCGTGACCAGGCTGCCCGAGCCGGGGTAGCCGGGCCTGCCGGGTTAAGGCCGGGGCCGGGGGAGCCTGTGCCTCTGCCTGCTTTCGCACAAGTGACTCTAGCAGTTCCGTCTGGCGGTTCATGAGCGCAATGATCTGCTCAGTGTCCACGCGGTCCCGCTCCCGCTCCTCCAGATCGGCCTTCGTGTACTCGCCCAGGGCTGCCAGGATCCGGTCAGTGGCTGCCTGCACCCTTCTGTCGGCCGCATGGGTGATTTCCAGCGCCAGATCCTGCCTGTTTTTCCTCTTCCGCTTCCGGATGTTGGCGAGGCGCTCTGCGGCGTACGACCTGGCGGGGTCGGGCAAGGGACTTGGGGAGGGGGTTATGGCCCCGTCTGAAAAGCAGGAAACAAAATTATGCTTAGAACTCACTTCCTCGACAGCAAGTCCCATCGAACAAAGTGGGACTTTCCGAGTCAACATGATTCGGATTTTCAGCGTTAACTTTAAGAAGCAGTGTGTGAGTTTGCTTTCCCCCCTCTTCCTCCTTCCTCCTCCTCTTATTTTCCTTTTGTGTTGTGTCATTTTTTGGTATAGCTTGATTTTTTAAAAAAATTGATCTGTAAGCTCTCTCTACCATGGGTTGGTTCAACTGAGCCACAGTGCCAAGGAAAGACAAACGTGTTGGCTCCTATCCATCCCTTGCAAGTCGGCTTGTTGGTACCTACCTGTCTGGTTGCTTGTGGCAAGAAAGAAAAATGCATCCGGGTAACTCAACAGGGAAGAGGTATGCTTTGGCTTGTGGGCCACAAATAACTAACATAGTTTTGTGTGGCCCGGCAAGCTCCTGCAGATGACCATGGGCGAGTGACGTTTGCAGACCAACTTGCAAGGCTGTTCCCTCGAACAGCATCCCTGTTGACATGAGACAAGCACTCGCTACCAGTACTTTCTGGAAACGAATGACATTTCTGGAAACACTGAAGACGAATTTGTTTCGACACAATTCTCCACCTGGAAGAAACGGCCTTAGGTTTAACAATACAAAACGAAAACGTCAACTTGGTTTTTGGTGCTGCTTTTAAAAGCGTTTTTGTGTGTGTGTTCCGCTCCTTCTGTGGCCTGCCTGCCAATTGCCTTGAGACAGTATGTAAAAAGTGATTCATAAATTAATAAAGCTACCTATTAACATAACTCCACCGATTAGAAAGGATTCTTCCTTGCCCCAGGCGAGCAGCTAATTTGCATCCAGTCATTCAAATGATGAACCTCATGAATTGGCAGTTCTTATCTGCTTGTTTTGTTCTGTTCTTACCTACTGTTGAGGCAGAGCTGCCCGGTTTATCGCAGGGAGTAGGCAGCAGAGGTGGAGCTGGACTGCTGGCTTCTGCTGTTCCTGAAGAAACACATTACATTGATTAATTTCAGAAGCATAGCTGGCCTTCGTCCACAGCAACAACCCTAGCCCCCCTCTGCTTCTGATCTATTGTATCAAAAACCACAACGTATGCATATTGTTGTGCAGAATGGACTGAGGAAATGCTTGGGGGCAGATGTGTGAATGCAGAATGCATAAGAATGAAATGATCATCATATACAAAACACACCGCAATCCCTTGGGCATTAACCCAGCCCTTGCATTTTGATTATCGAGTTCAAGAACATAACAGTCTTGTCTTCAAGCACTAGGCTGGCAGCTAAAGACAACCAAGGACCTTATGAAGGACCGGTTGAAGGAGATGGGTATGTTTATCCTGGAAGAGAGGAGACAGGATATCCATCTTCAAATATCTCAAGGGCTGCCTCGTGGAGGATGGAGCAAGCTTGTTTAGCTCCCGCTTTAGAGGGCAGGACCAAAACCAATGATTGAAGTTACAAGAAAGGAGATTCTGACTAAACATCCCATAACTAAATAAGGTAAAAAGGACCCCTGGACAGTTAAGTCCATTCAAAGGCAATTATGGGGTTGTGGCGCTCATCTCGCTTTCAGGCCGAGGGAGCCGGCATTTGTCCACAGACAGCATTCTGGGTCATGTGGCCAGCATGACTAAACCACTTCTGGTGCAATGAAACACCATGACGGAAGCCAGAGCGCATGGAAACGCTGTTTACCTTCCTGCTGCAGTGGTACCTATTTATCTACTTGCACTGGTGTGCTTTCAAACTGCTAGGTTGGCAGGAGCTGGGACAGAGCAATGGGAGCTAACCCCATCGTGGGGATTCAAACCATCAACCTTCTGATCAGCAAGCCCAAGAGGCTCAGTGGTTTAGACCACAGCACCACCTGCGTCCTTTTATAACTAAATAACTGCATGAGAGGAAGGACATGCGCTGATGCAAGAGGACTTGCTCCCTCTCGCCTCCTGTAGAGCATGTGCTTCATGCCCTCCCCAAATCTGCTCTGGAGGCTCGGAGGCAACCCCAGAACAGATTTAGGGAGCACACTGCGGGGGATGGGAAGTCTCACTGCGCAAGCGGAAGTAGCTCTTCTCTTGCAAGGTTTTATCGCTACTTTGGATATGACTCACTGGCAGGCAGTCACTGGTGTTTTTTTTAATCCTCCGCAAATTTCTCCAGTGAACCTGTCTAAGCTGGCCGGCTGTCACTACATCTCATGGTAAAAGGTAAAGGACCCCTGGACAGTTAAGTCCAGTGAAAGGCGACTATGGGGTTGCGGCGCTCATCTCGCTTTCAGGCTGAGGGAGCTGGCGTTTGTCCGCAGACAGCTTTTCAGGTCATGTGGCCAGCAGGACTAAACCGCTTTTGGCGCAACAGGACACCATGACAGAAACCAGAGCGTACGGAAATGCTGTTTACCATCCCGCCACAGCAATACCTATTTATCTACTTGCACTGGCGTGCTTTCGAACTGCTAGGTTGGAATTAGCTGGGACAGAGCAACGGGAGCTCATCCCGTCGTGGGGATTCGAACCGCCGACCTTCCGATCGGCAAGCCCAAGAGGCTCAGTGGTTTAGACCACAGTGCCACCCACGTCCCTGTACATCTCATGGTAGCTAATGTGCACCACCAGCAACACACTGGCCAAGCAGCAGTGCATTATGGGAGAGGGATGACAGCCAAGAGGCACAGTGACACAAAATCATCCGCTTGGATCTACATGCTTATAACGAGTGCAGCAAAGGAGAGGAGGATATATATACACACACACCCTACTTTTCTTCAAGGAGCTCCAGGCAGCACATGGTTGTCACCCCACCTCTCAATTTTGTCTTCGCAAAAACCTCGTGAGCTTCCTGGGGATTCCAACCCTGCCATCTCCCATCACGGCCTGCCTTCCTAACCACTACCCCACAGTGGCTCTCTGGATCCTGCGGCATGTTGAAGACCAAGTTATTCCACTTTTTTCGCAGGCTTTGGACTGTTTAACTAGATGTATGCTGCAAAAGCAGCAATTATGCCACGGTAAATGGATTTAGCCTTCCAAATGCCACAGTAGCTTTGACCTTTCACAGCAACAGCGGGTCATTTTTAATTTACCCTTATGGTACAAAAGTGCTTGGGTGAGGAGAGAGAGACTTTCTGTTCGTCATCAGGCAATGGCTTTTCCACCTGTCTGTCCCCACCCAGCCTTACCAGACTATAACTTTGAGAACAGCAGCAGCAGCAGCTGGGAAGTGAGGAGTTCAGGGATATTTTTTTAATACAGTTTTATGTTGTGCTTCTTAGTTTCTCAATTTGATCCTTTTACATGGTTTTTGTATGTTTTGTGGTATTTTGCTGTTACTTTTATTGATTGCAGATTGGTAATTCTTTATTGTGGTTGAACTTTTTAATTACTATTTGCTAATGTTTAATTTTACTGTTTTACTATTAGATTCTGATGGATTGCTGAACGTTGCTTTGTTTGATAGATGTTGTTTATTTTAAAGTTATTATGGCTTTTATATTGGATCAGATTGTTACTATTAATGTTTGATGCTTTAGTATGTTTTCATGTCTTGGAAGCCACCTAGAGTGGCTTGGGCAACCCAGCCAGATGTGTGGGATATAAATGAATTATTATTATTATTATTATTATTATTATTATTATTGATAGCCAAAGTTAGCCACACTCACAGAATCACAGAACTGGAGAGTTAGAAGGATTCCTGAACAATGAAGGAATTTCAGCTATTAGCATCCAAAACTCAGTGTAGGACAGGTTATTTAACACCTCTGATTTCAGCATTGGATATCAGCACTTCTTGGGTGAAAGGCGGAACACACATTAAAGTCAATGTAGTGGTACAGGTGGTTAGAGTGTCAAGACTAAGACCTGGGAGACCAGGCAGTATTTTTCCCCCTGACGGTACTCAAGGGTAAAGCTAAAGGACCCCTGGACAGTTAAGTCCAGTCAAAGGCGACTATGGAGTTGCGGCACTCATCTCCTTTCAGGCCGAGGAAGCCGGCATTTGTCCACAGACAGCTTTCCAGGTCATTTGGCCAGCATGACTAAACCGCTTCTGGCACAACGGAACACCGTAACGGAAGCCAGAGTGCATGGAAATGCTGTTTACCTTCCCGCCGCAGAGATACCTATTTATCTACTTGCACTGGTGTGCTTTTGAACTGCTAGGTTGGCAAAAGCTGGGACAGAGCAACAGGAATTCACCCCGTCACAGGGATTCGAACCGCCAATCTTCCGATCGGCGAGCCCAAGAGGCTCAGCGGTTTAGACCACAGCGCCGAACTGGCACCCTTTTCCCCTAGACAAAAAGAACTGGCTAAAAGTGTGGCATTTACTGCAACGACTTCATGGTGAGAACCGGCACTTTTTTTCCTACAGGAAAAGCACAGAGACCCGGGTTCAAATCCCCACTCTGCCACAAAGCTCAATGACCTTGACCTTCGACTACTCACAGGCTCTCAGCCTAACCGACCTCGCAGGGTTGTTGTGGGGGATTAAATGAGGAGGACAACCATGTACGCTACCTCGGCCTCCTTGGAAGAAAAGGCGGAATCTAAATGCAGGAAAATAAAACAAAAGACACTGTCTCCCAGGGATTGCTTTCTTTTTTAAAGACTATTTTGAAAACCTCATTCCACAGGGCTCTCCTCAGACACCAAATGCCGCCACTGACCCGTGGGAGACGTCACAGGCATTTCATCGGGGGCTTCCTCCTTTATGTACGGTACAGGGAAGCCACCCCTCAGGCTGGGGACCTGGGGGAGCGACCGCGTCCTTAGAGCCAACGTCTCCTGGCTGCCCGCTTGGGCCCCCTCTGCCGCAGCTTCCTCCTCAGTGGAGCACTGAGACATCGAGTCGGCGACAGACGCCCCGCGGCGGCTCAAGGCGGGCAGCACCTCCGGGGGCGGGACGTCCGCCTCGTTGGCCAATAGGTGATCGAGCTGGTCGTAGAAGAGCCAGGCCAAATGTCCTTTCCCCGGGGAGTTGTTGGCCTTGGCTATCCGGTAGTCCCTCTTCAGAGTCTTGATTTTGGAGCGGCACTCCAGGGCAGAGCGCTTGTGGCCTCTCTGTGCCATCTTGCCGGCCACCACTTGGAAAGTCTCGATGTTCCGGTGGCTCCGCTGCAGCTCCTGCTGGATCTCCCGCTCGCGCCAAATGACCAGCAGGTCTATGATCTCAGGGTAGGTCCACGTGGTGCCGCGATACTGCCTGTAGGGGGCGATGGCAGGCTCAGGCGTTTCGGCCGCTGGAAAGCCAAGTGGGAGGGAGGTGAAGCCAAGTGGGAGGGAGGTGAAGAGAGAGAGAAAGGTTAAATCAGAAAGAACAGGGTGGGGAGAAAACAGCTGAGAATGTTTAATTGCCGTATTTTTCGCTCTATAAGACGCACCAGACCATGACGCACCTAGTTTTTGGAGGAAGAAAACAAGGAAAAAATTATTCTGAATCCCAGAAGCCAGAACAGCAACAGGGATCGCTGTGCAGCGAAAGCAGCGGTCCCTCTTGCTATTCTGGCTTCTGGGATAGCTGCGCAGCCTGCATTCGCTCCATAAGACGCACACACATTTCCCCTTACTTTTTAGGAGGGAAAAAGTGAGTCTTATAGAGCAAAAAATACGGTATCTTTTTTTTGCATGTGTGTCCTGAAGCATCACAATAATTTTTAAACTCTTGAAACAGAGGGAGTTGTCAACAAAAATAAGGACTGCACTAGATCTGATACTAAGAAGCTAGAAGGTTTTCAGCATTCCTCAAGTGGACTCTGCTGTACAGCCAGGCTTGAGGCACACAAAGCACGAATCCCCTGGGATAGCTCAGTCGGGAGAGCATGAGACTGTTAATCTCAGGGTTGTGGGTTCGAGCCCCACATTGGGCAAGAGATTCATGCATTGCATGGGGTTGGACTAGATGACCCTCGTGGTTCCTTCAAAATCCACAATTCTTTGATTCTTCTTTGATGCTTTGAGTGAGAAGGGTGCATCTTCCTCAGTGCTGAGTGAGCCCAACCTGCTCACTCAAACTCTGGGCAGACAGAGGGAGAATAAACTTCCTTGCAATGAGGTTGAGGGAATGTTCTTTCATGGGTGGTGGACCTGTAAAACGGTAAAAGAGCATTGGGAAATAATTTAAAATGAATTGGGGAAAAAAAAGTTTTAAAGTACTTTTAAAAAACAACAACCAGAGTCCTTTTTTGTTGGGGAAAATTCAGACGGAAATTCCCAGGTGTCAAAAAAGGTTATTAATGTTTGCCACTATTGTGTTTCGTTAACCCAAAAATGCAAATTGAGCAAAGTCCCAACTAAAGAAGAATGACAACTTAAACTGATGGAATATGTGCAGCTTGCAGACCTAACATAAGAGAGCAAGGAGGACATACGTTTAAAGATTGGAAAATGTGTACACTTGAAAACGTTGGCAGCATTAAGATAAATTCAACCGTGTAAACAAGTTTTGGTGGATGTAATAATGGAATACTGAATGGTTTAGTTTATGTAAAATATGCAGGGATTTATGATATGCAAAATGAACTATGGAAAGAGAAGAAGGGAAGCCACTGACATTTTAAGGTTGCGTAAATTAGTATTCTAAATTGTAAAACAGAAAGTTTAATAAAAACTATAAAGGTAAAGGTAAAGGTACCCCTGCCCGTACGGGCCAGTCTTGCCAGACTCCAGGGTTGTGCGCTCATCTCACTCTATAGGCCGGGAGCCAGCGCTGTCCGCAGACACTTCTGGGTCACGTGGCCAGTGTGACAAGCTGCATCTGGCGAGCCAGCGCAGCACACGGAACACCGTTTACCTTCCCGCTGGTAAGCGGTCCCTATTTATCTACTTGCACTTAAGGGTGCTTTCGAACTGCTAGGTGGGCAGGCGCTGGGACCGAACGATGGGAGCGCACCCCGCCGCGGGGATTCGAACCGCCGACCATGTGATCGGCAAGTCCTAGGCGCTGAGGTTTTACCCACAGCGCCACCCGCGTCCCTAATAATAAAAACTATAGAGAGAGAGAATAGACTTCCTGGTTAGTTGGCCCCTCACCTAATTTGCTTCCAGGCAGGATCCGCCTCCCTCTCGCGACTTGCTCGCTTGGGATCCACTGCTCTTCCTCAGACTCAATCTTGCAGATCAGCTCTGGCTCGTCAGCAGGCAACCCTGCGCAGGAAGGAGCAGAAAGGCCCAGGTCAGTTGGCCATTCCACCCATCATTGGCTAGGGAGATGTTCTCCATTGCTTCACCCCAGTTCACAATAAAATGAATTCCATGGGATGGGGCAGGATTTGGGGTTCTTACCCAGCAAGGCCATCGTTGCAAAGTTGTTCTGCATGACAACACCCCCAGGGCGGGGCTCTTTGGTTCTGGTCCAAAACGGCTCCCTGATGAAGTCCCACCACTGTTGGGCTCAAGAGTCACCACCATCCAGAAAAATACACGGGGCCATAAGTCTCCTCCCACGGTTTCGACCAAGGAACTGTGACATGTAGGGGGAAAGCAGAGGAAACGGTGAAACATTTGGGAGCACCCAATGCTGCAACAGTAGGACGCGGGTGGCGCTGTGGTCTAAACCAGAGCCTAGGGCTTGCCGATCGGAAGGTCGGCGGTTTGAATCCCCGTGACGGGGTGAGCTCCCGTTGCTCTGTCCCAGCTCCTGCCTACCTAGCAGTTTGAAAGCACGTCAAAGTGCAAGTAGATAAATAGGTACCGCTCCGGCGGGAAGGTAAACGGCGTTTCCGTGCGCTGCTCTGGTTTCGCCAGAAGCAGCTTAGTCATGCTGGCCACATGACCCGGAAAAACTGTCTGCGGACAAATGTCGACTCCCTTGGCCAGTAAAGCCCAGAGTCGTTCACAACTGGACTTAACTGTCAGGGGTCCTTTACCTTTCACCTAATGCTGCAACATGGTTGAAGCCAAAGCCTGGTCACCCTCTCTGTTGTTGTTTTTTCTGATTCTGTGCTTCTAACTCATTCAAGAATTTCTTGTTCTCTAGCGTGTCATGGTTCTTTCCATTTTCCTGCTCCATATGCGTGGAATCACCTTCCAGGAAGCAGTGGTGAGTTGCCCCCTCACGCCATATGTTCAAATCTCTCTTTAAAATTTGTCCTTTTTTTCTGGAGCCTTTGGCTCTGGTTAGCTCGTTCTCTTATACCCGGTGTAACTGTCTGTGAATCGGTGCCATTTTAAACTATTGATGTTTATTGCATTGTTTATATTAGTTGCTTTAGACCAGTGGTTCTCAAACTTTTTTCTCTGGGCCACACTCTCAGAATAAAAAATTGCTTGCATATACCACAAAATATTTTATTGATGGGGGGGAGGATGCAACAACTTCTAGCAGTGTTTGATTCATAACATAGAACAGAACTGCTTTATAATATGGCCATGGGGCAGCCAGAAAGTATAAAATGATGCAGCTACATAAGAACGGGAATCATTCCCAAAATATAATATTGATAGTCCTTGAATCTTCCTCCCACACTTGCCATCTTCTCCTGGACTGACCGTGGCTGATTATCAATTAAACATCTGGTAAGTTCAGATGACAACTTTGAGCTAGGTTAAGAAATTTGAGAACTTAATGAAGGAAAGTCATTTGATCCTAGGACAGTCCACATACTGGCCTATTCTAACCTGTCTTTCTTTTTTCTTCTTTTTAAAATAATTTTTATTAAATTTTCCATTTTAACAATCCAATCAAATCACATTAAGTATTCCAAATTATACAAATACATATCATATAGTCCAAATATTCTGCCAAATTATAATTTTTTGTTGGGGCTTCCCATGCTTCAAGTTCAGTGGGGTTCCAATCATCTTATGTTTCTACTGCCTTGAGTTTCCAATAGTTCCTTCTTTAAAACTTCCTGATGTTATCCTTCCTTCTTTCGTGGCCTCTGAGCTCTAACCTCTTTTTCTTAATGGTGACTGCTCCTTCTCAGGCTGCACAGAAAAAGCATCTCCAGAAGTTCATTCCGATTGTGCAGATAAAATATAACTGATAGATTTCTACAGGATGGGGCATTAGTGTGTGAAAACAGTCCAGATCCAATGATCCCCAGATGTGGCATCAGGTGACAGACAGGTGGGTTGCCCCGCCCACTTGTCAAAGTTGGCCCATGAAGGCCAAGTTCTAGCCCCGCCAGAGCCAAAATGTAGCCCCAACAACCTGGCAAATAGATCCAGCGTCATTGTGGCTGAAGCCCAAGCTCAGAAATTGGGAGTTGGGCATCCAGCCTACCCTCCGCTAGACTCATCGGCCTGCCAGTCACACAAACACTCATATGCTGTATATATATATAAAATTCAGGCTACCATGCCAAAGGCAGAAACCGAAAGGGCTGCCAAGAGCCACTTAATTTGCCTGATGTGCTAATAATGTGCCATTATGTAGTTTGGCAGTCATTAGGTGGCACAGGACTTAGTTGTGTCTGGGTGAAGTCAGACATTTCCTTTTACTGCTCTTGTTGGAGAGAAACAACCAAGTTCTTGTCTAGCTTCTAGCAATCTTCCTGTGGAAGGGGATCCTAAGAGGTCTTCTAGCCCAACCCCGCTGCTCCATACAGGATCTGCAATACAGGGATGCAACTACAGCACCCCTGAGAGGGCCACCAGGTTTCGGAAGCTGCTCTGAGCCTTCCGGGACACCCGACCCCAGCAATTTCAGGGTGGTTTTTTCCTCCCTGGGTCCTGTGTCAAAAGCACCATTAAAACCTGAACAACCAGTTTGAACAGAGATCCCAGCTGCTGGGGCTGGGGAAAGAGACCGCACGTATACGTTGAGCAACAACGATGGCTCTAAGATGCCACCTCTGAATTTCAGAAGAGGTTATTTTCTGTGCTGAGAGCCTGTCTCTGTGGTTGGTATTATTATTCCTTGCCCACCCTTCACCCTAAGGTCCTGGGAAATTGCAACACCAAACTGCAATATTAAAAACAGTTTTATCGTCACAAAAATAAGGCAGGCGCTAAAAATGTACATCTCAAAAGCAAGGGTAGAGGTGCCACTTTGTGGGGAGAGACCCCTACAACTTAGAGCAGGCAGAGGCAAACTCCGGCCCTCCAGATGTTTGGGACTACAATTCCCATCATCCCTGACCACTGGTCCTGTTAGCTAGGGATGATGGGAATTGTAGTCCCAAACATCTGGAAGGCCGAAGTTTGCCTATGCCTGACTTAGAGGTTGCGACAGAGAATGCCCTCTCCCAGGCTAAGGCATTTAGGGCTTTAAACACTATTTTTGAGCACCTGGAAATGAACCGGCAACCAGTCCAGCTGCTTTAAAACAGGTGAGATCTTAACTGGAAGCCCAGCCAGGAATCTTGCCTGATGCTTTTTGGAGTACGGTGGGCAAGTCGTGTCTGCCTAGCAAGGAAGGTGGCTGAAACCAGATTCCAAACGCCTTGTTGATTTGTTTAAAACTAAGAGCCAACGCTTGGGAAACTGTCCCGAGACAGAAGGAAATCTGAGTAGCAAATGTAGCATTACGTATCTGGGGTCTGTCTACTGAAGGACCAGCAGAACAATAATTTCAGACTGAGTCTAAATGAGAGGGTTCCCCGCCCCCACAAGGCTGGGGGCATAACAGGGTTGGCTCCCGTAGCATGACAGTTGTGTCTGTTCACACATATTCCACCATCTCTGATCAAATAGCACTGCAGGTTTTTGTGACAGCTTCTGGCTCTTCAAAACCATTTGGACCGGGCTCTATGGTGGGGCAAAAGAAACCAACAATGCATGCACACAAACCAGGACAACACTGCCTCTCTCATGCCACCTGCAACTCTCTCTTAAAAGTAAATAATTAAAGGTAAAGGTAAAGGGACCCCTGACCATTAGGTCCAGTTGTGGCTGACTCTGGGGTTGCGGCGCTCATCTCGCTCTATAGGCCAAGGGAGCCAGCGTACAGCTTCCGGGTCATGTGGCCAGCATGGCTAAGCCGCTTCTGGCGAACCAGAGCAGCGCACGGAAACGCCGTTTACCTTCCCGCTGGAGCGGTACCTATTTATCTACTTGCACTTTGACGTGCTTTTGAACTGCTAGGTTGGCAGGAGCAGGGACCGAGCAACGGGAGCTCACCCTGTCGTGGGGATTCGAACCGCCGACCTTCTGATCGGCAAGTCCTAGGCTCTGTGGTTTAACCCACAGTGCCACCCGTGTCCCCATAATTAAAGTAGTGACGTGCTAAAAATAAAAATCAGAACTAGGGCCCTATACATTATCTTGTGAATCGCCCTGAGATCTTTGGATGAAGGGTGGTATATAAATTTTAATAACAATAATAATTAAGCAGTATCATACCAAACAAAACCGTCATGGTTTCCCCTAAAGAATCCTGGGAACTTTAGTTTCTTACAGGTGCTGAGAGCTGTTAGAGGAGACCCCTATTCTCCTCACAGAGGTTCCTAGGAAGAACTGATTGTTAAACCACTCTGGGAATTGTAGCTGTAAGAGGAGGACAGGGTTCTCCTAACCACTTCCAGCACCCTTAACAAACTACAGCTCCCATAATTCTTGGGGAGGGGAGAGGAAGCCATGATTGTTTAAAGTGCTGTGAAGACACACCTCTTTATCCTAGCTTTTGACACTAGAGGTGTCTATTTTTAGCACCCCTCTTGAGTGTAAGTTTTTACTATTGCGCTTGAACAATGAAAACCACCCTGGAACCATGGGGTGAAGGACAGATAAGTTAATTAATAATAATAATAATAATAATAATAATAATGATATAGTGCAGCTGAGGCCACACACAGAGGGAGGCAGGGGTGAGGGTGTCAACTGAGGACCCCAGGACTAAAAAACAAAAAAGACACTCGAGTTTCAGTGAGGAAAGGGGACAGAGTGGCGGTACTGATCTCAATTTTCTTTAGGGAATTTGAATAAACCAGGGGCAGAAGCACCTCGCTTCTTGCCCTGGACTTCTCAACCTTCTCTTCCTCATCCGGGTGGATTTATGCAGGCATAAACAGGAACAAGACCCACCCCACCCCCCAAGCCTCCCACCAGTTTATTGCTGTCCTCTCAGAAACAAGTTCCACTGAGTTCCATCATGCTGCGCTTATTTCACAAGCAGAACTTCACCAACTCCACCACCGGCTTACACAGCCCCAGGGAAAACGTCCATCAGGTCAGACCACCACCCTACTTTCCCCAGCCCTATCTTAAGCCCAAACAAGTCATTCTTAGCAGGAGGGGGAGGTCTCAGCACCCCAATCGCCTTCTCCACTTCTTCCGATTCTGGGTCTCTGGATTTCTAGCAATCATTATTGGGGGGGGGGGGGACTTGCTGCTGTTTCCTCGCCCGATCCACCGCACCCACCCACCCACTCCCAAACCCCAAGATCTGCAAGAGAAGCAGGAACAGCGCGGAAGCAAAAAAAAAAAGCACGTGAGAACGCGCGATCACGGGAGTTGGGGCCCCCCCCACTCGCACCTCAAACTCTGATGCACTTCCAGGGCCACCCCGACCTGCCAGAATGACTCACACTTGCCCAACTCCGGCCAGGTCCTAGAGACGCACCTTTCCCTTTTTTACCCCCCTTACCTGCTGGGTGTTTGGTTTCTGCAAAAGTGACGCGTCTGCAAAGGCTCCGCGGTCCCGCAGCGCGTTTGCAACGCGAAGGAGGAGGCAGCCTCGCCGCCCGCGGCTGCAATGGCTCCGGCTGCTGCTGCTGCTTCCGAGGAAAGGAGGCGGAGGAGCCTCGCCAGCACGTCCACACACTTCGCGGCACCGAGCGGGGGAAACATGGAAAAAAAGAAGACCCAGGCACTCGGAGCTGTCGTGGCTTCCCTTGCAAGGCAGCCCGGGTACTGTAGTTCGGCCAGAGGCGGCGCCTCTCTTCGCCGGAGTCGCTCTGTTCCCCGCCGGAACTACAACTCCCAGAGTTCCCTGGGAAAGAGCGGACCCGGACTAGCTGAACTAGTTTTGGAACCGGTTTGTGTTTGTAGTGCGGATGCCGAGAGGCGCAAGCAGCGACCAACGCCTTGGAATGGGGCGGGGGGGGGGGATGCGATGAGGGTTTCAAAATATATATTTTCCGGAGAGCTGAGCGGCCAAATTTGCATGGCTGATTGTGGGTTTTTTGGGGGGTTTTTTAAAGTTGTGATTTTGTTCCTGGAGGCTTCATGGAGCCTGGAAGGAACGCTTTTGTTTGGCAGATGTTTAGAAAGTTGACACGAGTTTTAATCCGTTTTTAATCTATTGTTTTAATGGGGGGGGAGTTTTAAATTATTCTATAATTTTTTTGTATATCGCCATCCATCCGCAGATCTCAGGGTGCTTCACACACACAATATTAAAGATTAGGGGGGGAAAAACACAAAATATGTAATAAAAATATTGTTAGTTTTCCTTATTGATAATTTTACTGTTTTGTTCTGTTTTGTAAACCGCTTTGAGTGTTTTGTTTGTTTGTTTTGAAATCAAGCAGTGTATAAGTTATATAAAATAAAAGAATGAACAAACATTTTGAAATAGATTTGTCGTGCAAGCCTATGTATGACTACTCGGAAGTCAGCCCCGTTGAATTCGATGTTATTTAGTCTCTGGGATGTCTGTATAAGATGGCAGCTGCAGGCTGCAATTCCAAAGATGCTTACAAAGGCGCTTGGTAGGGTTTACCTCTGAGTAAACATGTGCAGGATTGCTGCCGCCCTTTGCACATTTACCTGGGCGTAAGCCCCACTGAATGCAGTTGGGCTTCTGTATAAGCATGCATTCAAACGACACTATTAGGATTGCTGAGGACTGTTCCTCTGTCTGCTCCCTTCCATCCTACACCTTCAACAACACCTAACCAGACAGATACCTGTCAGGTGAAGTTTTCACCTCCATTTGTGTGCTGGGGTGGGGTGCGGCTTCGCTTGCTGAAATTATGTACATGAGTAAGCGTGCAACAGTAGTCACACTCTGGGAATGGCTTTGACCCGCTGGCTAAACCAGGTGAGGGTAGCCGATGGGTCTCAAACCCTCCATGAGTTAGGACAGAGGTCAGCAACCTTTTTCAGCTGTGGGCTGGTCCACCGTTCCTCAGACCATGTGGTGGGCCGGACTATATTTTGAAAAACATAATGAACAAATTCCTGTGCCGCACAAATAACTCAGAGACGCATTTTAAATAAAAGCACACATTCTACTCATGTAAAAACATGTTGATTCCTGGACCATCCGCAGGCCAGATTGAGAAGGCGATTGGGTTGCCTACCCCTGATCTAGGAGGTGGAAAACACTGATCCTAAACCTTCGCTGCCTTGTGGATATAATCATTTGTGAACCCCGAGGAAAAATTCATACCTGCTGGCTTGTGGGACATCTTCAGGAGAAGAAATGGCTAAGGAGTAAACCCTACACAAATTAGGAAGGGAGTCCCTAAAAGGGTCAGAGGTTGCCTTGTACGCCTCCTTCTGGCAACTCCTGCAGGCAAACATGTTTCTTTCCTTTCCTTTGAACCACATCAGCAAGACCAAGAGTGGGGCCTTCTTATCAGGGCATCCCAGGACCTCCATATACACTGCCCTGGCTTGCAGCCCAGGGAGGTCACTTCAGTGATGCAGATGCAGAAAAAGCAACAGTTAATGAGACAGCTTTTGAATGCATAGGATAAAGGTTAGTGAGATAAGGTGGTAACTTGAGGCCATTTAAAAAGAAACCGTCCTTAAGAAAGGGAGGCTGCCATGCCTGTGAGAGCGCTGTTATGAAAGGGCACATCTCCTGTGCTAGACATAATTTTAATACTATCTCTCCCCAGGCCAAGGAATCCCGGGATTTAAAGTTCTGTAAGGAGAGCTGGAGGCCTGTTGCAGAGTTAACGGCACCATCACCGAATTTAAACTGCAAGAATTCTCTGAGCCTGGGAAGCAGTGATTTGGTATAAAATCTCTCCAGGCCTTCCACTCTACAAGCAGCTGGTGAGCTTAGAAGCACTCAGGCACAGAATAGGCAAAGATAGCCACTGAAGCTCAACATCAAAAAAACGAAGATCATGGCCACTGGGCCCATCACCTCCTGGCAAACAGAAGGGGAAGAAATGGAGGCAGTGAGAGATTTTACTTTCTTGGGCTCCATGATCACTGCAGATGGTGACAGCAGCCACGAAATTAAAAGACGCCTGCTTCTTGGGAGAAAAGCAATGACAAACCTAGACAGCATCTTAAAAAGCAGAGACATCACCTTACCAACAAAGGTCCGTATAGTTAAAGCTATGGTTTTCCCAATAGTGGTGGTTGGAAGTGAGAGCTGGACCATAAGGAAGGCTGATCGCTGAAGAATTGAAGCTTTTGAATTATGGTGCTGGAGGAGACTCTTGAGAGTCCCATGGACTGTAAGAAGAACAAACCTATCCATCCTTAAGGAAATCAGCCCCTGAGTGCTCACTGGAAGGACAGATCCTGAAGCTGAGGCTCCAATACTTTGGCCACCTCATGAGAAGAGAAGACTCCCTGGAAAAGACCCTGTTGTTGGGAAAGATGGAGGGCACAAGGAGAAGGGGACGACTGAGGACGAGATGGCTGGACAGTGTTCTCGAAGCTACCAGCATGAGTTTGAGCAAACTGCGGGAGGCAGTGGAAGACAGAAGTGCCTGGCGTGCTCTGGTCCACGGGGTCACGAAGAGTCGGACACAACTAAACGACTAAACAACAACAAATCTTGCAAATCTTGCACTGGACTCCTCCTGGGTTTGGCAGCAGTCTGCATAACAAAGTGATCTTTAATGACATTGCCTCAAGAGCCACCAGGTGGCAGCAGACACAAAGGAACGTAAATCTGAGGTGGGAAAGGCTGAGTTTTAAACTTCATGCAAGTTGTGATGGATGGAGAGATATTCATGTCATTTTTGTACTGAGATTCCTGCATTGCGAGAGGTTGAAACAAATGACCCTTGGGGTTCTTTGATTCTATTATTCCCCTCACATCATCCTTCTGCCAACACCCCCCCCCTTTGTGTGGAATTCCTCTTCCAATCTGTACACACGATCATTTAAAAAGAAAGTACTTTAAAAATAAAAATCCTGTTTCTGCATTAGGGTGCAAATCCACGCAGACTTAATCGATCCATTAAAATTCATTTGATCAACCAAGTAAGATTTATTTAACAGGATGACTGCCCTAAGGTGGGCTGATTTGCCTGTGTGCGACTACACTTTGATTCTTGATCTTTTGCCCTGCTGACGTGTTTAAATTAGCAGAACTTTAAAAGGACCTGTTCAGTTTTACATTTTGACAAATGCACAAGGCAAAACACTCTTGAGCAGTCTGGTTTAAACGACGTTCCTTTGACTTCTGAATCACGCTCCTTCGATAGCTCAGCTGGTAGAGCGGAGGACTGTAGAATACTTAAGAACAAGTCATCCTTAGGTCGCTGGTTCGATTCCGGCTCGAAGGACAATCTGTTTTGCGGAAAGGCCGAAGGTCGGCATTTCCAGTGAGGGCTGAGAGAGATAGCTGCTGCCAGACAGTGTGGACAACGCTGAGCTGGGCGGACCGAGATCCGGTATATTGTATAAGGTTGTATTTTTCCTAATCGCTTCGGGACAAGATTCTAGTCCACGGTGATCGACACTTTTTCTCGAATTCTGTGCCTAGTTACTCAGTGAGATCGCTGTGGCTTCTCCAATGTGCGCTAGCAAGAAAAATCTGGCATTTTCGGGTCCATGTGCTCAAAGCAGATGAGCAGAGAGTCAAAAAACTAAAGGGAAGAAAGTAGAAGTGGGATGTCTAACTTAAAAAAAGTAGTAGCCAATGGGGTGTCCCAAGTCCACAGACCAACCAATAGCGTTCGCTGCTTCCGTAGGAGTTTGCACCCAATAGCGTGGCCTCCTTACAATTTCAACGAGCCAATCGCAGAGCTTAGTTCCAGTTCTGTACTTAAGAATTTCCCCAGAAGTTCTATTCCTACCCTTGTACTGTTTTTACGTAAAGAAACTCCAGGTACAGCCTAATAACAGACCATCTCCACCATTGTTGTGGTTACCCTTCTTGCCCGATCCTTTGCGTGGCCGCCCTGCCAGATGAAACGTTCTGCAGACTCGGAAAACTTGCCATGCTTTTGTGACCTTTTGGTTCCAATAAAGGTATTATTACCCGATCGTGGCTTTTGCAGTTATAGTACTCAAAAAAAAAAAGGAAAAAAAAGAAAAAGAAGAAGACAAACAGAGCGATCTTGTGCATGCCTACTCTCGAGTAACACCCATTAGTTCAACGAGCATCTCCCCTCGTTGCAAAGCTCACACGTGCAACCCAAACCCACGATCAGAAAGCAGAGAAACAGATTTAAACTTTCCTTATCTATCTGTCTATCTATCTGTCTGTCATTGCCAGAGAAACATGTGAGATCTGACCTAGCGGAGCCTAACAGTTAAAGGTATTTCTGGATACCAGGTTCTCTGGTCATAATACCTTTATAAGAAAATACATTCCAGTGGCGGGGCCTTTTTTGGGGGTGGGGGGGAAGACTTTTGATGCCCTCAGTGCACTCTGATCACCTGTGAATTAAATTGAGAATGCATCGGAAATTTGGTGGGGCATTTGGGGAAAAAAACACAATGTCCTTCGAGCCGGAATCGAACCAGCGACCTAAGGATGACAGCTTTTCACACTCTACAGTCCTCCGCTCTACCAGCTGAGCTATCGAAGGAGCGCACTCACTGCTTTTAGTCACAGCAAATAAGCGCCTCCGCGATCAGTTTCGTTTCTTTGCTTTTCCGCCTTCCAAATTCCACATTTGTTGACTCAAAAGAAAAGATGACGTTGAAGGCACGTTGCTAACGCTAAAGCGACGCATTCCAGCCACGTTCTGTAAAACTGACCAATTTAGCATGGAGGGGGAGGCAATAATTAATATATATATATATATATATATATATATATGTATATGCTTTAATATGTTTTAATATTTTAACTTTTGTAATGCTTTAAAGCATGGGTGGAAAATTTTCTGGATTTTTATGGTTTTATCTTTTTGCAAACATATATATGCTTTTTGCAGACAGATGGGAATTAAACCATGCTCGTCGTCGTGCAGCTGGTCAATGCTATCCATGTAGACTCGGAATCTCCTGAGTGTTCAGAAGGGATTACTCTCAGATTAATGCGCGCAGGGTGGCAATCCTGCTAATCGGACTGGGCGACGCGGCTGCAGGGCGCGAAGGACAGGCGCAGAGAGAGGCACAGGGACCTGTACAAATGGGCGCGCGTGTGCATATCGGTAGGCGCGCGTAACGTGTGAACCTGCCTTAGTGCGTGCGTGTGTGCTTATGCATATTTGCAGCTCAGCTTTCCAAGCAAAATAGCTGCCCTACCCTGGTTCTGCCACACGGTGGCGGTAGGTCAGCGGCGAAGCTGGATCACGATATGCGGGTCCGATTCTGCCGGCGGTTCCAACTCTGACGCTTGGAATCTTGATACTTTCCTCTGCTGGCCCACTTATATTTCAATTTCTATTCTATTTTATTCCCACCAGCGAGATTTTCGTGGAGCCAGACTGGAGATCCCAGGGCTAGAGTGTGAGGGTGCCTAAACTTTGGAATTCCCTGCCTATTGAGATCAAGCAGGCACCTTCACTATACTTTTGGCACCTGATTCAAAGCATTCCTGGTGAGACAAGTCTATGCAGATGCTTAGAAAGTGGTGGCAATTTTAATACGTTTTAATATTTTAACTTTTGTAATGCTTTAAAGCATGGGTGGAATTTTTTCTGGATTTTTCTGGTTTTATCTTTTTGCAAACAGCTATGAGGGTTTTTTAAACAGTCAAGCGGTGCATAACTTTTTATGAAATAGAATAAATGCTGTTTTTGTCTTTTGTTATTAAGATTCTGGTTGCCTGCCCTAGGTGACTGGCAGGCTGTTTGGACAGGAGTTGCAACTGGGGAAGGATGGGGGGGAGAGAGAGGGGAAAAAGAGCAGCCCCCTCTCCTGAACTGTCACTGAAATGCACAGAGAAAGGAAACAAAACAATTTGCTGGAAGATCCAGCAGGAGCCATTCCAGGAAGTTTTGCTGTTGTTGGCAAAGCATTCACAACCTGCATCTGTTCCCTTTGCATTTTGTTGTGGGGTGTGCGTGCGAGAGAATAACTGCTTTTAACTTGAAATGTTCTTGATCCCCTTTGCTGTTCCTTCCTGGTACAGAACAAGGAACTCTTTCCCTTAATTCACCTTCGGTTTTCTCTTTTATAACAGCAGCAGTGCTCACATTCAGGCCTAAGCTTGTTTTCCTCTCCCCTCTCCCTCCCCTCCCTAGAATCCCATTCGTCGTATCCTGCAGGTATTTCATGGGCAGCTGCCCCATCTTCTTAGGATACCGCAGGTCTTCTAGAGAAACACCTGAAGAAAAGCTGGCCAAGTCAGATGCTGCCCCAGGTTTCATGACTCTACTGCTGGTACTGCCTATGAAAACACAGTAATTCCCATTTGAAATAAAGGAACACCTTGGAACACCAAGAGATCTGTGATCCAGGGCGGAAATCAGTTCCTTAACTACAAATGGCAACCCTGTCAACTTTTGAATGGGTGGGAGAAAGCCTACTTGTACACAGAATCTGGGAGGCTTTGAGAAGAGAAACTGATTTCATGAGACGAAAAATGCAGGTCACACCGCCTAACAAATCCAGATGTTTGCAGAGGTCTAAGCACCAAAGTTTCTGCTTAAACATACACTTTCAAATGAAGGGAATCTTCTTGTTGTTTTAGTTTTGACAACTGGATTAAACGATAGACTTGCATGTATTGGCATATTTTGCATAAGCTCCTGATCGCAAAGAATGGAAGGTTTTGTATTGCTTTTTGGAAGAGAAGAGGTATATATAAAATATACCCATGAAGTTATTCAAGCACTTATTCCCATTCCTGTGATGCCTCAACTGGTCTGCTCTGCCAAGGCCTCTTGAGTGTTCATCAGGAACTGCCTAGATATCTGGGCTTGTCCAGCAATATTTCCATTTTGGTCTGAAGTTGCTGTCCATACTACCTCTTATTATCAGTGAAAGCCTTGATTTTTGCAAATGTTCATATACTTTTACATTATATTCTTGTAATACGGGAGCAATCAGCACGACACAAAATGGAAATTACAAGCCTTTGCAGGTGCTAAGAGATTTAGAAGGGTAAATATTCACCTTAATGCCCTTGTTACATTCAAACTTATTTTCTATAAACACCAACTTTGTTTGAATACCTATTCAGACATTCCAACTCTACAGTTCTATGATTTGGAGAGCATATGTCAATACATTAAGTGTAAATACAAATAGATCTATATTTATTGTGACTGTAGATGGCAATTCTTCTTTTGTTTCATTGTCCCCTTGTGCATGTTTGTCTTTTCTTAAATAGATTTCCAGTGAAAAAAGTATATGAGAAAGGAGCTACCCACATAGCTAACCTCAGCATGTAGCCACATGAGTGAGAAAGCTGCAGGTTTTATTCATGTTACATCACATTTCAAACGTCAGTGCCAATTATACAGATGCCTCTTCCACCTGAGGCGTATTTACTCAATAGGAAGATGGAGAATAGGTTAGCCAATGGCTCTTGTTAGCAATGTTAACTAGGTATGTAAGCTCCATATTCAAAGTATAATGGAGCTGTCAGGTTAAGATGTATGCTGCCTCTGGACCCATTATGCTGCCAATGAACAAGAGGGCAGGTGTAATAAATCACTATTGCATCCCGCTTCTGAACTGTCCAGGAGCAACTAGCCAGCCACTTTGGGACAGAACAATGAACTAGATGAATCTCTGGTCTGAACCAATAAGGCAACGCTCATTCCCTGCCTGCTCCCGGCCAGACCTTTGTTATAGACTCTCGTGAAACGCTGAAGAATTGACACCGAGCGATTCTGCAAGATCAAAGACACAAAAGACAGGAGCTGTTTGAAAAGGACCGGCTTTTATTTTGCTGTGGAAAATAAGTTTTTGCATCTTCAAACATTTCACCAATTGAAATTTGGACATTAAAAACAGCGTCTCTCTAGCAAACACCTTAAAGAGTTCAACCACCCCAAAATTTCACAAGCTTTTACTTTCAGCTGGAATTTCAAAACGGACCGTTCCAGGAGCGGAAAGGGAGCTTGGGAGAGAAGGAGGGAACTGAAGATGCTGGCGGATTCTCCCCGACTGACCCAAAACGTTCTTCCGGGGCCAATGCCATCTCAGCTGATCTCCAGTCCCTTCACCTGAAGCACTCTCTGGGAATGGAAAGGGAGGTAGTAGCACTGTGAGCTAGGACGTTCACACAAAACACAGACCACATGCCACAAGAAAGAGTTCAGGCCATAGATGGCTTGGATGGACAGAACTCTGCCATCCAAAACAATGGGTTGGGTGGGAAGGACAGAGAAAGTCCTCAATGTCAGGCCCTTGCGTTGGTGTTAAAGGTAGAGTCAGT